AACAACTACAAAATTTGTGTGTTGATTGATGAGCAAGGGAATATGGTGAAGTCTGACATTAAAAGAAAGTGTACAAAGCGTAACAAAAAGGAGTTTTACGTGGATAAAGAATGGGGTCAACTGATTAAGCGACAAGGATACAACGAAGACCAAATGTTGAAAATTGAAAAAATGAATGACCCCAATTATTTAGTTTTGAATGTTGACAAAGCTTGATTCTGAACATGCGCGGGTTTACGGTTGCTACTGCTACTTCGAATTTAGAACTGAACATTTAGTATTTTGTAATTTATTTTTTTGATACTGCTACTTTAATATTCTCATCCATTTATATATTTTTATGTGTTTAATTAATACTTGCATGAAAATATTTAGTTTGCTTGTATGGTGGCGAAATATATATTTGGTTGTCTTTGCAGGTCACACCAAACAAGAATACACCTCCACAATAACAAAGGTTTGTTTATTATTAAATTGAATTTATTTTATTTACATTTTATAAATTTGAAGAATTTTTTTATATCGTTTTTTATATTATTAGTCCGATGCATGGTTTTATTTTTTACTTTAATTTTCACCGTATAATTTCAGCAATAAACCCCAATTTTGGGATTATACTTTCCACGTGCCAACAACATACGACAACACCAACCTTAATCGCAACCCAATATTTGCATAAATTATAAATATTTTCGTTTCATATTAAAAAATTTATATTTTTAAATTACAGTAATATGCATTTTTTTTCCACAAATAAACATTCCACAAATCATTTTCGACTATTGCTGCCTAAGTCCATCAATGAACCACGAAAAACACAACATTATAGCATCAATGTACTTACTAACTACATTTTATGAATTAAATATTATTTAATATATATTTTTCAGTAACAAACAAGTTGAATACACAAGGCTGAATAAATTTCTACTAATCACTCCATTTTATTGCTATGAACATGGAAATTTAAAATAATTAAATAAATTTGGTAACAGATACTATCCAAAACTACTTTAAAACGAAATCCATTTCAAAAATAAAACAATAAATTCAAAACGTTACTTTTTTATTAAAGAATCATAAATTTATATTAATTTTTAAAATTCTCAACTTCCGGATTAGACGGCCACAAATTCTTAATGTTCAATTTAATGTATAATAATAATAATATAATTAAACAAATTAAACCACCCCATATGCTTTTTCCATTACGAGAAATACTTATTACTGATACCGGAAGGTACAGTGGGGTCGTTTTAATATTCAAAAAGACAAAAACCAATCTTTATTCCCCGGCAACTGTTGACATTTCAAACCAAAACGACTGCGGAAAGTGAAACGGGGCAACAATGACTGACTTTTTATTTACTTCATTTCATTTATATTCTTCGTCTTATATTATTAATATATTTGTATGAAATGAATGTATTGAATTCATGATCGAATCGATCAGAAAGTATTTGAATTTAATCTTTGACGGAAATAACTTTTGATCATATTTTATTTATTTTTTAACTAAATTAGATTAGTTTAAGATGAAACCTTAAAACACTAATAAAAAAAACAATGTTATATGCAAAATGCAATCAAAATTACTATCTTTATACAAACCAAAAAACAAATAAATATTCTTATTTTTTAATAGAATACTTTTAATATTTCTTATTATACCATATTTCATGATAAATGCATATTAGTTGTTATGTATAAATTAATTAAAAGTTAAGTGGGATATAAATATATAATTGACAACACAACAATTAATGTTGTTTTAAAATTTAAAAATAACAAATAAATATAAATAAAAATTTATTAAAAAACTGACAAGTAAAAAAAACGATGGGAGTACAATAAGAAGAAAAATAAACATAGAAAAAAGAGAAGTGTAAAATAATGTAATTAACATGATAAATAAAACAGAAAACAATATTATGAGAATTTTAGGTCGATGAAAATACTTTTCATGTCCTTGTTATAAACCACAAGTTAAAAAAAAACTGTGATTCTTTTTATAAAACAATTTATA